CGAAATACACTTTGAAAAATCGAAAGAATAAAAACAAAAGTGTAGAAGATATAAAATTAACCAGCTAAGTTGAGAGAAATAAATAATTCAACGTCGATGTTCGATTCTGGATCAATTTACGGTACAGTTTGTACAAGAGACAAGTTTCCCCTTGATTTCAGAGATACATTACTCAGGGACGATCATGATACACGATACATCATCACGATCTAAACGAGGAGAGACCACCAATTATAGGCTGTTTCGTTCGTTTACTCGACTCCTTTTTTTTTTATACGCGTCTCGATAGGAGAGAGCAGCAGGGGGTGGTCCATGCGCATAAATTCGTTGCAAGTACACCCTACGCCAATGTGGACTTCCACCCTCAGAGGTTGCCAGGCAACGCCGGTCTCTGACTGTGTCAAACTCAAGCACCAACCACCCCAGACCATCCCTTCTTACCAGCCCGTTCTCCCCCCACCCTTCCCTTTCACTTCCCCTCCCTTTTCGCTCCGTTCATTTTCCCTCCTCCTCGTTTCCCTTGCTCCGCCACTGTTCACCGGCCTCTCTTGTTCCCTCCACTCTTTTCTTCCGCGTCACAGTTACTGTACTTCTCTGTCCTTTCCCCCCCTCAACACCTTTGGACCCTCTTTTTTTTCTTCTTTCGTCCATCTTTTCCTTTTCCATTTCGTTATTTTCTTCTTCTTCTTCTTTTTTTTTTGCTATGTATCTAATTTTCCGTTCTTACCCCGTTTTATCTCGCTTTATTCCTTATTCATCCCTTTGTTTCTTCGTCCTTTTCTCGTTTTTTTTTTTTTTGCCGGTTTTAGTTAGGTCGTTGGCGTTATTGTCTGTCCGGTGTCTCGCTTTCTACTTTCCTCGGCGCGGCGCTTTCTTTGTTATCTCTTTATCGACTTTCAACGGTGCTTGCTTTTTTCTTACTTTTCGGTTCGATTTTTTTTTTTCTTTCTTCTTTTGTACGTTCTTATTGTTCACGTTTCTCCAGGTTTTGTTTTACCTTTTTTATCATCGTGTCGTATTATCAGTTTTCCTAGAAATTTTTATGCTTTTTACTTTCGTTTTTATATACTTCGCGGTTACCCGGTATATGAAATTTTTCGCTCTTGCTTCTATGCTTCCTTGGAATTTTCCTTTCTGCGAGTTTCTTTTCGTTCTGTGCATATGTTTCCCTTTCAGTTTTTAATGTACAATGATTTTTTTGTAACTCTTGTATTTCTTCTTTCTTTACTTTCGTTTTATCTGTATTCTTCGCTGCGTTCGTTCGATGTGTGTATACAGGGTGTCCCAATTGTTTCCGACAAAACTTCGCCAGTGTATTCTATGGGTATAAGTAAGGAAAAAATGTTATATGAACATAGGTCGTTTGAAGCTTCGTTAAGCTACCATTGTTAAGTTATCCGTTCTCGTTCCGTATTATTGCTATAACTTTTCAATAAAGTCTCAAACGACCTATGTTCATATAACATTTTTCTCTTACTTATGCCCATAGAATACACTGACGAAGTTTGATCGAAACAAATTTTGACACCCGGTATATTGATTTTTACAATTAAATTATAACACTAGAGGTGTTTCGTTTCAATTTTCTTCCGATAGTCGAAATTGTTGCTTATGCTGTGTGTGCAACATAAAGGGTGTCGTGTTCAACTAAATCTGTGACAGTGGGTGCAATTAACATTTAAGTGGAGAACGTTTTCCCAACGAGTAACTCTTAGTAACTTGTTTCACGGTATCTCGGAATTCCAAGCCTGATCTTGTTTTATGGCTACTTTCGTAGTCACTTAACCACTAGAAACGGGGATTTATATCAAAACTATTGCCCAGAAATTTAATCACCGGTGTACGTTGAAAACGAGTTACAAAATCAGCTTGAACTCGAATGCAAGTTTTAGGCGTTGTAATATCAAAGAAATTGTTACCAAATAATACAGTTTATTGGTAAATTTGGAATC